TAAAAAAAATAATAAATCCGCGTCGCCGCACCACTTTTTGGGCAAGCTCCATACCAGAAACGGAGACTTTTTTTGGCCTGATAGACTTTACCTTTTTTGGCTTATTCCATACATGTACTTCAGGACATTTTGTACTGCTAGATGACATGTATGTATTGTACATGTGCATGAGTTCTTTGATAGTTAGTGCACAGCATGGGAAGCACTCATGCATAACAATTAGTAGTGAGTCAGTCCTGGACTAGAGATAAAAAGTGAGGTTGAGACATGGTCAGTATCGATTTAGGTGATAGAATCGATTATGTTTATTCAGAAACAGGACAGAATCGATATTATTATCGATACCAGAGTCGATTTTCGAATCATGCTTAGGCCCCCAAAAAAATCTCCGGTTTCTGGTATGCGCGCGCGTCGCCGTAGCCATGCGCGTCGGCAAAATGAAAAAGTTTTTTTTTCAATGAAAGATGATGTCTCAAAACCGCCAAACTCACTGGTTTGACTGGAATCCTGCTGCTGCACACTTTAAACGTGATTTTAGATGGGGTTATGATCGAGAATAAGCATTGTGTGGCCTCTCTGGACTCGGGCACCATTTGAAGTCATCAGCCGACATTTGAAGCAAAAAAGTCAGGTTAAAAAAAAAAAAAGCCGCGTCGCCGCATCACTTTTTGGGCAAGCTCCATACCAGAAACCGGAGACTTTTTTTTGTTGGCCTTATTGAGTTATTTTTTGCATTTGTTTTTACTATTGTGTTGTGATTCTGATTTAAGACTTCGATGAGTCAGGAACATTTACCACACACCAAGCTAAACCAGTGTCCATTTGTCTTTATTCTTGCAGTTTTGCAGTCTTTTTAATGAACACTCTGCAGCGGCTGCTCCCGTGGCCGTTGGGGGGGGGGGGGTAACATTTGGCGACCACGAGGGGACTCGAACCCTCAATCTTCCGTTGTAGTATAATGTAGGAAAATCTGTAAAACGTATCTGTTTTGTAAATTTTCAACTCCCGTCAGTTGCTCAAATCAGGCTCCGTTTCGAATTCACGTACGAAGGATCGAAATGCATATCATTCGACGCTCAAAATGGTCCGCAATGAAAAAGAAATTACATCCGGTATTGTGTGTATGCATTTCAATGGCAAACTTTTCGGATAGCATTTGCACGCATTGGCTAACCGCGGTCTACAACTGCAGCCACATGCTTTATACATAGGTCATGATAAATTACCCAGAATGCCATCCCCACTTCCCTCACAACATTCTGTGAAGCTCATCTGCCCTTCCCAGCGCCCTGTTTTCAGGGCAGGGGGTACGAGCGAATATTCGACGCTCAAAATTGTGTCCACATGGTCCGCAATGAAACAGAAATCACATCCGGTATGGAACGTGTGCATTTCTATGGGTAGTTTTCGGATAATATTTTCGCACATTGTCTAACTGCGGTTTTGAACAGCTGCCGCCAGATGCTTGATACATATGTCATATATAGGCCAATTCCTTCACAAGATTCTGTGAGGCGTCCTGTTTGCAGGGTGGGGGTACGAGCGAACCCGTGCGACGGTCTACTACGCATGCGCATTTACCCTGTGCGTGAATCCTCGCGCGCACTTGGTAAACAGCAAAAAATAACATCTGGCACGTGTTGATGAATTGACCAGTGAGAGTTCGGCTCTCAATCATGAATATGTATGAGGTATAGTAATACGCGATATCGTGCCCGGCAGTTGTTGCATTACAAAACACTGCATTCGAATTGACCAATCAAATCGTTTAGTCCTGATTTAGGAATGAAATGACGTCACGATTTAGTAAAGTTGACTCCGATTGGCTGGCGCACGGCTTGCATAAATTTAAATGTCAGGAGATGTCAGACGTTGTACAGGATTTGGCTCCGTGGATAACGGGTGATACTCAGATTAGTTTCAAAGGGACCGATGTCGAATATGCCATACTTTAATATGTTAACCAACGTCAGGTGAATATACGTTGGCCCAACATCGGTCAATGTTGGAACAGTCGCAGTCGGCTTGCAGACGTATGCGGATATGCCGACGCTGGCGGTCCATTAAAGTCGACCCGATATCGTTGTTCTGTCGTTGGTAAAAAGTGTATATTCGACGACAGCCTGCCAACGTTGTGCCGACGCGGCGTTGGTGACGGTATTTTTTTTCCCGGCCTGCCAACGTTGTGTAAACTTACAATCGGAATGGTACGCCAACAGTCTGCATCATGGGCGTCAATCCCCCACTTACAATATCAAATGTTTGAAACAAGTGTTCGCCTTTTGCAGACCGTAGAACCCTCATTTTGAGCATTGGTGATTGGTCACTGCTCGCGAGCACGGTGCTGTATTGACACACACAACATGTATCGTACAAAGTACATTGACCAAGCGACAGGAAATGTGTATTTTTACACTCTTAAAACTACTTAGTCAAAATATTGACTGGTTTTCCTAGTTATTGAAAATTGACTGTAGGAATTTAATTAAACATGCAAAGTTTCATACTGAAAAGTAGTTGGGTTCGACTCCAAATTCAGTTATTTGCATAACTATTTCCCCATATTAATACTGACTGGAAATATCTAGTCAGATTGCCTGATTTTCAGTTGCACCCAGCTGACCTGAATAGCTAGTCGAATTTCACTGGTTTCTAGTCGAAACTGACTAATGCTTTTTTAGAGTGTACTCCGTAGGGTGCGCTGTAACACCCGGGGGTTTATCGTCTTTTCTCGCTAACGGTAAGACATTAGGTTGGTTTCTTTTGAACAAGATGTTCGAATTAGGATAAGTAAACGACCCAAAACAGTTTTTCAGGGATTTCAGGACCTACAGGGCCCTCTTAAGCGCCTGCCCCGAACCCCACGTCTATAGCTCAGAATATAGCTGATTCAATGACTTCAACCTCGAAAATGTGGTTTAAATGATTGTCTTTTGCTAACAAAAAAAAATAAAGTGGTCAGAAATTGCCTCAGATCGCACCACGAGAGAGTGTCTAGAATCAATTTTTCGCGGCACTTGGCCCCGAAACCCCCCCCCACGCTGTAGGGGCTTCGCGCTTCGCGCTCGCATTATAGTTCTGATCAAGGTATATCCCCACTTTTAAGAAGCGATTGACGCCCCTGATCTGTTTTTAGTTCCGCGGTATATTATGCCGACTTTGACGATCTGTCGGGTGTGTATATATATTTGATGTCGACGATCGGTCGGGTGTATATATGTTTTAATGTCGGTCTGCCAACGTTGACTTACGTTAATTAAAGACGTCGCATGCAAACATTTTGCTGACGTCGGCCTGGCCTGCCCGTTCTGGCTAACACTTGGTGATCGGTAATGACGCTGGCCGGCCGACAGCTGCCGGTGACGACGGTAAACAGTTTCGAGGACAGCCTTCCAACGGTACGTTAATTGTGCCGACACTGACGATCAGTTTGTATTTTGAGGTTGGCCTGCCAACGTTGTTCAATATAGTTAGTAAAAAGTCTGTAGGCCTAATTTTTGACGTCGGCCTGCTATTATAATATGCCATCGGTGACGATCGGTTCGTATACTATTATGAGGTTGATTTGCCAACGTTGTTGTTCAGAAGTTATTAAGCAATATTTGACGTCGGCTGTCAACATTGTTCAGACGAAAACAGTTGCATGTATTCGACGTTGGCCAAACGTCAAAAATTGTCGGGCCGACGTTACAATGCGTCGTATGTATGAGCGTAGTTGGCAGGATGGGGGGATACGTCGCCTAAAGTTGGCGAAATAATGTTGCGCCAACTTGTTTTTTTTAATCCAACGTGTTGATGGCCCAAACGTCCAGAAGAATTGCCGAACCAACATATCCAACGTTTAATATTTCGCCAGACCACGGTCTGACAGTCGCGAAGCCAACGGTTGACACGGTAAGCGGGTCAGTTGCTCGTAGGGTAGACCATAATAAACCCGCACTATCAGCATCGATAAGTAGGGGGCGGGGTGTTGCTGTTTGTGCACCAAA